CACTCCAGTCTTGGGGAGCCTTTGCTCTTGTTTTCTTCTCTTCTGGAATGCTCTTTACCCAGATATTAATACAACAGAAAACTCTGAAATGACAAGGACTTGAACAAGATAGAACTATTTCTCTCTCTTGTATAAAGAAAATATGAAAATAAGGTGTCCAAGGATGCTATTGTGACCCCATGGTGTGCGATTAAGTGCCAGATTCAGACATTTTTGCTTCCATAACTTCAGCATTCTTTCTTAAGGCTACTTCATGGAACAAGGTGCATGCTGGAGTCCCAGATATTATTTTCATATTTTACACTGCCACCAGCAGGTTAGGCAGGAATAAACTCTCAACTGAGTCAATTCCATTATAAGAAACAAACCTAGCCCTTCCACAAATAAATATGTGTATAGCTCTTTGGTTATATCTTACTCACAACTTAAATTTCAAAGCCTTTTGAAGGACTTTGGATTTTACATTGAGAGACCATATTTAGTTACGAGGAAGGCTAGAAAAGGCAGTTGTTTATTTCAGGTGGCAACATACCCAGCTAAAAATGAAACTTTTGTTACTGAAGAGAAAGGAGGAATGGATATTGGCAAAGGCAGGTAGCAGACTTTTCTGAAGATATTTTGTTTCTAATGTTGATGACTTCACCATTACTTTATCTTCTGCCAGTACAGCCACAGGGCCTGGTGCCACATTACCCATCTTCATTGTGGGCGGTGGGCAGTGGGAGCCTGGGTTTCAAGCCACACTGGTGAGGTAGTAAGAAGGAAGGTCAGGCTAAGAGAGGGTGTGGAAGCCCTGGACATGTAAGAAAGGGGAGGGGAAATCAGAGCTGTGGTCTTTGATGAATCTACGACTAAACTAAAGTTTGAGCCTTACTGTTGATTTTTTCCTTGTTTCTCTTTCCTCTCTAATCATTCAGACTCAGGATGGTCTGTGTGTGATTTGGCATGAGATGTAGGTGTTCTGCTGGGCCTGGGTGTGAAATGTGTCCATGTTCAGAGTTTCTCATATTTCCCATTCCTTTTTCATTTTTATTTCAGCATAGGGCATTGGTAATGCTTTTTTAGCCACATGTGATATTATCAAGTACAACTTGAACCAAGAGATGAAAGTATGAGTGAAGCTTTGCTATAGAGAGATAGGCAGGACTTAAAATTACAATAACATATTTTCTGAGGAGTAAACTTCTTTGTGAAAGGAATGTAGAAATAACATTTTCTTTTTTAATAAACAAGCAAAATTGAAGGGTTGCTAGAGTTAAAAAATAATTAAATACCAGGAGATCATTTCCTCAGATTTGACAATTTCAAAAATACCTTTTAAAAACAAGGCAGGCAAGCCTGGCCACTGTGGTTCAGTGGACTGAGCTTCGTTCCATGGACTGAGAGGTCCCAGTTCAATTCCCAGTCAGGGCACATGCCCAGGTTGTGGGGCATGCAGAAGGCAGCCAATCAATGTTTCTGTCTCTCTCTACCTTTCTCTCTCTCTAAAAAATTAATGAAAACATAATATTTTTTTATTTTTTTAAATCCCCACCTGAAGATATTTTTCTATGTGTTTTCAGAATGAGTGGGAGAGAGATAGGGAGAGAAACATCAACATGAGAGGGACACATCGACTGGTTGCCTCCCGCATAACCCTGACCAGGGCCAGGGATGAACGGCAACCGAGGTACGTGCCCTTGACCAGAATTGAACCCACGACTCATTGGTCTGTGGGCCGACACTTTACCACTGAGCCAAACTGACCAGGGCAATAAAAACATATTAAAAAATTAAATAAAACAAGATAGGCAAAAAATATATTATAATATATTCCATAGTAAAAAGTCTTTAGGGATGTCTAATATTCTCCAGCTCCTGGTTATCTCTGCATGGGTGACAGGAGGAACTTTATTTTCTCTTTTTAAAATTATTGGTTTGTATAATATTTTAGATGCATACTACTCAATGAGGAGGTGGCTAACATGTGATGTTCCCATGTGACACAAGTGATGCAGCCTCTGGCACTGCAGTGATGGCACATGGGTTGGAGGTGGGGGAAAACCCTACTTACATCAACTGCCAATATACCAAAAAATTATATTCTAAGTTCAAACAAATGAAAGTTCCTTTGGGGAGGTATGTTGTGGCTGGGTAGTTTCCCATTCTGTTGTAAGGGTAATGTCTAAACCGAAGGTCTCTACATTTGCTCTGTTCAGAAATTCAGGGCACAGTAATCAGAAGATAGCCAACACACGTGATTTGTTCTAAAATCTCCAACTAATATCTCCAACTAGATTTACCATATAGTATGGTGCCAAGTGGGTACTGAAAATATCAGGGGGATCATTTTGTAAAATATATGCTTGTCTAACCACTATGTTGTATACCTGAAATTTATACAAAATAATATTAAATATAAACTGTAAATTTAATTGAAAAGATTTACCATGCAGATATCTATTTATTTGGGGAAGATTGGAAAAAAGATAGGGATCTTTTAGGTGTGGAATACTGGAAAATGTCTGGGATTTTTAAGGTAAGAGTGATATGGATATTTGGCAAAACATTTATTTATTTATTTAAATATGTCTTTTTTAATATTATTTTTCTTTATTGATTTTAGAGAGGGAGGGAGAGATAGAAACTTTGATAAGAGAGAACATCGATTGGCCACCTCATGCATGCCTCCAACTGGGGATTGGGTCCACAACCTGGGCATGTGCCCTGACCAGGAATCGAACTGGCGATCTTTTGGTGCATGGGTCCATGCTCAACCACTGAGCCACACCGGCCAGTCTTAAATATGTTTTTTAAATTGATATTTAGAGGGAGAGGAAGGGAGAGAGAAATAGAAACATTGATGTGAGAGAAAAAATATCGACTGACTGCCCCTGCACACCCCCCACTGGGGATTGAGCCTGCAACCCGGGCATGTGCCCTGACTGGGAATCAAATCAGAACCTCTCAGTCCATGGGACAATGCTCAATCCACTGAGCCACAATGGCCTGGCATTGGCAAATCATTTATATGTAAGTTGCATAAACAAAAAAAGAGAAGGTAGAGGATGGTGGTGGAAGAGTGGAGGAATGGAGCCAAAAAAGATGGGATAGTATGACCCACATGGAAGGCAGTGCTGATAATGGCAAGGCAACCAAAAGGAGCATGGCACAGCTGGACAGGACAAGCCTGCTATCAAGGAGAAGATGAAAGTTCACATGCAAGGTTGGAGCCAAGGTCTATGTGAGGAAAGAACATGAGAAGTTGATCTCAATATTTTTCCTCTGGGAAATGCCTTTCAGAAAGATAGAAATCTCTCTCTCTCTCTCTCTCTCTCTCTCTCTCTCTCTCTCTCTTTGGGACATGCCCCTAGCGGGAACTGAACCCAGGACTCTCTGGTCCACAGGCCAACGCTCCAACCACTGAGCCAAACTGGCCAGGGCTAGAAATAAATCTCTTAATATCTGTGTTTTATAGTATCAAATGCATTCCCACCTCAGCAGGCTGATATCTTCCCTAAAAATACATTTTTAAATCTATAGAAATAGCATAATTCTCTAATATAATGCCTGGTAGGAATTCTAGCCTTTTTTCTATAAAGCTCAATTTCACTAATGACTCTTCTCTCATGGAAACCCACTATTGTCCAAAGTTAGTTATAGAGATCTGATGATCATTCCATAAGAAAATAATGGTCTACATTTGTTGATTAAAACCTCTTGCCAAAAGAAACCATTTCTTCTCTTAATTGATTAAACAGTCTTATCTAATAAGAGTAAGTTCTTATTTGTGGTAGAAATTTTGTTTTCAAGGTGAGCCTATGAGTCTATGTATTAGTGGATACCATGACTTGATAGTTCATGGCATCATAAGTATCGCTTAAAATATAACAGTGGATAAGTTTTACTTCTTGATTTAGGTGATAATATTACCTTTATATCAATGACAGGGCAATTTATTTATTTTGGTGATTTTAACAATATAATTACCTCTATTCATTATGAACATCATGGTTTTCAAAATATGATTCGTTCACATATGCTTGCAGCTATTATATTTGGATTTTTTTAAACTTGAAAGGACAGTGTCTTTTGTTTTTAAATCATGTAAATTGAAATGTAGAAAATAAACCACTGTGATATTCAATATTATATTTTAATCACCTAAGTCAAAGGAATCAAGATTCCATTTTCAAGGCAAATATAATTTGTAGATGACTTTATTGTTCATTTGCATTTGTCCCTAGGGTGAATTCGGGGTCTTACGGAAGTCTTCACATCAAGAGATTACTGAAGCTCATACTATTAGAATGCCCCTTCCAATAGGGTTTTGCCTAGTTGAAAATCAGATGATTTTATGACCTGAAAACAATAATCTGAATAAGGGCAACTCACTGAGGGATATTGTGTAGGAAGAGATGCATCAAGTACTGAAAACCCAGATATAAAAAGAGCATGAAAAAGTTGCCAAAATGGTAATCCTGACTATATAAAAAGGAAACACCCAAGAGATTACCTTAATTGTCCCTTAAAAACAGCACTGATGTGCTGTGCTAGAAGCTTGTTCTGGCAACAGTTGAACCCTTCTCAGCTTCTCATGATGGTTGAAGATTAAGGTGGCATATATTCTCTTCAAAGTTAACACCATTTGTACATACTTTCTTCCCAAAGCAATTTCTTTCCATTAAAATAACTCAGGCTGCCTTTAAGAAGTCTCCCATGAGAATTAACTTGCATATGATACTTAACCACTTAGTAAACCTTAAAGTGTCAAACGAATGCTTGGCCTTACACTACAGGGACATAAATTTACCTGAAAATAAAGTTGTAAAAGGCAATGCTAAATTTTCATCAGATTGTAATTTTAAAAATTAATGAAGACATTTTAGTATTATAATTCTTATAAGATGAGTCTAAGTCTATATAAGAAAATAATTTAACAAATGCTTCTAATCTAATGCTTCCAAACCCCCCTCCCACCAGGATTACTTTGAAGTGGGTTGAAACACTCTGATGAAAAAGTTACTTACACAATGGTATGTCTATTATTTATGTGTGTATTGAAAACCAGACAATGAAATTCATAAATAGTTAGGGCTGAAATGAACCTTAGGGATCATCTAGTATATTTTCCATTAACTAGTTTGACAGAGACAAAACTAGAATTTAGGTCTTTCAACTTCTAGTCTTTGTTCCTTTTATTACACTGAGTCTTTATTGTCCTCATTTAAGTTACTTATTTTTAAAGAAAATTAATAACTTTACTAATGCTCTTTATAAATTCTATTTTTAGATATGAATTTCTAACATTTGAGGTATGTCACTAGCTTCTATGGGAAATATTATTTTATAATGTATATTACAAATCATGTTTAAACCTAAGAATTAGCTTTCTTTACCTCAAACATGGGTTAGGAATGCTGATTAGCAAAATAAGTCTTTACTTTTAACCTTAAAAATATTTCATTTTTCTTTCATGAATTTTGTAAATTTTTTCTTCCTTGATAGTCACTTGATAGTTGAACTTCTATATAAATCAAATTTTAAATTCCCAAACTCATCGTAGGAAAACAAACATTTAAAGTTTTGGTAGTACAACTTTAAGGAAAATCAAAAGTCCTTGCTTTGTTGTTGTCTCATTCAGATGATAATAAATATTTCATTCCCAATCTAATGGATTTGGCTTGGAGGTACCTTGCATAGCCATATTGTGATGTTAGGGTTTGGTTTGTTTTAAAAATTTATAGCAGTTCCAAGCAGAAGTTAGATCTGTTTTCACAATTGCCAATACTGCAGGCCATTTTCTATAAACATCTTCTAAAAAAAAAAGAATCAAACACACATTACCCAAAGAACCAGAGACACAGCTGTTTCTGGTTCTGATCTTAAGAGACATTAACTTTTGCTTGGCAAAGTGCAAGTGAGCAGCGATTTGATGAAGTCTGATCACCTATTCCAAGGAATTCTGCCTGGGGATGGAAAGAATGGAAGAGGATGTCACTGACATCACTTTCCTATTTAACTCAAAACTTATTTCCTAAATGAGATGAGAAAGTAGAAGTAGTGTGAGAATCCATATAGTCCAAAATGAGATAAAGAATCATTTATTTTGTCTTTCTTATTTTAAAAATATAAGTCATTTGAGTTAAATGTATACTTACTATCTGACCTAGCAATTTCATTCCTAGGTATTCATCCAAGAGAACCAAAAACATATGTTCACACAAAGACTTCTACACAGTTTTCCTTTTACTTATAAAATCCCCAAACTGAAACCAACCCAAATGCTCATTAATAAAGTATAGTATAGTCATACAAAGGAAAACTATTCAATAAAAAGGAACAAACTATGACTACATACAACATGGATGAATCTTGACGTTAATGCTGAAAGAAAAGAAGAAAAAAAAGTATTATTCCATCTCTATGAAGTTCAAAAACAAGCAAAAATACTCTATGATAGAAAATTATCAGAATAGTGGTTTCCAGGGATGGTTAGTGTGGAATTGACTGCAAAGAAACACAGAAGACTTTTGGACTGCTGCTATGACTTGATTGGGAACAATCTACACAAGTGTATATCAAGGTTTCTCAACCTTGTTGCTACTGACATTTTGGGCTGGATAATTCTTTCTTGAGGAGGGCTGGCCTGTGTATTATAGAATATTTAGCCAGTAACAAACACCTCTACTTATCTCAGATGTGACAACCAAAGTGTCTCCAGACATTGTCAAATGTCTCCTAGGTGACAAAATCACTGTTGTGGTTCATCAATTCTCATCCAACTGTACACTTGAAATGGGTGCACTAATTTTACTGTATGTAAATTATACCTCAATAAAGTAATTAAAAATAATTCCTTTGGGGACAACAGAGTACCTTTACAATGGAAAAACCTGACAAATACTACCTCAGCCAAGTGATCGAGGTCAGCATTAACAGTGATAAGTCATGTTAATAGTGTGAACCCTGTATATAATGTAACGAAAATTGCACATTACCTCTGTGGTCTTCCTTCCGAAAACATGACCCCAGTGTAATAATGAGAAAAACATCATACAAATGCCAATAAAAAAACTATTTATAAAACACCTGACCAGTATTCCTCAAAACTCAGCCTAGGGTAGCCTAAGGGGAAATAATATTGAATGTAATGTGGGATCATGGATGGGATCCTGCAAGAGGAGAAGGACAGTAGGTAAAAACTAAAGAAGTCAGAATAAAATATAGATTTTAGTTAATAATAATGTATCAATACTGGTTCATTAACTGAGACAAATATACCACACTAATGTAAAATGTTGGTAATAGGAGAAACTGTACATGGGGTATATGAGAACTCTTTGTATTGTTGATGCAATTTATCTGTAAACCTCAGCTTTTTCTAAAATAGACAATTTATTGAGAAATAACATTATTGACACTGAGCTTATAGAGCATACAGAAATCTGCTTATGTTTTTTGTTGGTTTTTAATGATGCTAACCACAAACATGCCAAAGACATTTTATTAAGTTATTGCCATCTACCCCTAGACCTTTGATCTCATAAATGACCATAAAATCTGCTTGGGACATATTGGGGCAAATAATATTTAATTAAATGCAATAAAAATATTTTGAGCACTTACTAGATGCCACACATTGAACTAGTTATTGGGGACGTAAAGATGGATGAGATCTGGTCCCTGCTCTCCAGGAGCTCAAAGTCTTGAAAGAGGGCACCATCTGGTGTAATGGTGGAGTTATTTATTACAAGAACATCAAGGTGGAAAACATTATTTTATAATGGGAGAGCCTTTTTCTCTCCCACAAAACAGATTGTAGTGATTCTGGCCTAGGGAGGGCCCAAGCCTGGATTAAGGTGGTAAAGGGCTATTTTGAAGAAGAGAGGAATACCGGTCAATGGGAGGTAGGAATATTTCTTCAGCATGATTCATAATCCTCATTACTCTTTCAGTGTTGGCCTGTGGAGACAGTTGGGAGAGTTTTGTGAGCCATGATACTTGCATTCTATATTAATAACAGCAGAACAATTGAATTCTGCCAGATAGGCTTTTCTGCCTGATTGTCGGCTGACCTCTAAGTCTCCCTATGGCTGTGCTTATGCCTAAGTCACCACATGTGGACAGATCTGAGGAAGGTTTAGGCCAGATGTTGGATAAATTACTGAAACTTTCTTCATCTCTATTTTCTTATCTGCAAAGAAAAGAAAACCCCAAACCTCATGGGATGGTTGGGGTAGGGCAAATGAAAATTCTTTATAAATGCTTAGGTGCTTCCCAGATGTTGGTGGTTTTTACTATCCAGATCTTTATCTTGACCTGGAACTTACATGGGCACTTTTATCTTGGGCTCCTTTGCAGTTTTAGAAAATTACCTCGCATGGGGGAGATGGTATGACATGGTAATTAAGAACACAGATTTTGGAGTCAATAAGACCCTGGGTTTAAACCTCAGCTTGGCAATTTACCAGCTGTGTGGATAGAGCACAGTTTAGTAACAACTATAGTGCCTGGTGCGCAGCAGTACCTGCTACTAAAGTTGTTATTTTTATCCCATTTCTTCATTGAGATTCCACCAGAATGTAAACTTCATGAAGGCAGGAATTTTTGTTTATTTCATTCACTGATATATCCCAAGTGCCTGAAATAGTGATAAGCACATGGCAGGTGCTTTATTAAATACTTGTTAAATAAATGAATGAAACTGGGCTTCACTCTAGGCTCTGTCTGCCATACACAGTATGAAAGACACTCTAGTAGGGACAGACATTTCTGTGGCTCAAGAATAACTGCAGTTTTCTAATATACCAATGGTTCCATTGTTTCAGTCGGGCAAATAATCCATTCAAAATCCCCAGGTGTAGTGGACTGAAGATGGCCACTGGTTTTTAATACTCCTCCCATGGAGAGATAAGGTCCATGTCTCTGCCTTTTGAATCTAGGCAGGGTCTGTGACTGCTTTGACCAATAGAATATAGCAGAAATGGGATTGTGTTTTCATGCCCAGACCCTCAGAAGTAACCTCCATTTCATGTCTCCCAGAAGCCAGCTATTGTTTAAGAAGTGTCATTACCCTGAGACCATCATGCTGTGAGAAGCTTAAGCTCCATGGAAAGACCTTGAAGAATGATGCACCATGTGGAGAGAATATGTCACTGAAATACCATCTTTGGAGAAAGCTTCTATCTATGAAAACTATGAAACTCAGAATCAGAGAAGTCAGTTACTAATTTTCATCTTCCCTTCTCTTTGTTCCCAAAAATGATATTAATGACCACTTTGAGCAAAGAAGAGAAAGGGGGCAACTTGCCTCATCAATAAACCAAACAAATCTCTCTTTGGGGCCACATTATGAAATAGATGAGCCCAAAAGTTACCAAAAACATTTGATGGCCACCAAGGTACTCCAGTGGTCTTCATCTGCTGGTATTCACGTCCTTCTGTAGTCTCTTCCCAAATTAATAAGGCTGACCTGAGTAAACTAATAAGATAGTATGGGAGTGATGGAGTGTGGTTCCTGAGGCTAGGTCATAAATGATGTATCTTCCATCTTGCTTCTTTTGGATTACTTTCTCCAGAAGAAATAAGCTATTATGTTTTGAAGACACTCATGCAGTCCTATGGAGAGATCCATGTGGTGAGCAACTGAGGATTGTTACCAACAACCAGCCTTAACATGTCAGCTGTGTCAGTGAGCCATCTTGGTAGTGGATTCTCAAGCCTCATTCAAACCTTCGGATGAATGCAACCCTGGCTGCTGACATCTTGGCTGCAATTTCATAAAAGACCACGACTCTAAATAACCTAGCAAATGCTTACAGATTTCTGACCAACAGAACCTGTAAGATAATAAATATTATTTTGAAGTTGTGGGGTACGATGTTAGATAGCAATTAATAATGTAGCCACTCTCCCCATCCATGCTGTATTTATTTTTGTTTCTTTGCTAGTTTGTTGCTATGTTAACTCTGATTTAGCTTGTATTTGAAATTCAGAGCTTTAAGATAAAAATTGTTTTCTAGAACTATGGTGTCTCAGGAAATTAGGTTCAGCTTTATTAATATTCTGTACTTCCTTTAATAGTAGGTATACTCCATCTTGTCATGTGCCTTACAAAAACCAGGCTCTTAGAGGTGGTGACACTCCTAAACCAGCCCAAAGTTGCCTATGGGTCCTTGTTTTCTGAACCATATTACTAATATTTCTATATAACCCTAATTATGAAAAAACATTATTAATATAGGGAAATTCATGCTGAGGCCCAACTAGGCTTATCTTCAAGGCATGTCTCTCCCAAGCACATGCATACGCAGACCTACAAAGAAAAGGGATGATGGGGGATTGAGAAAATTACCCTTATTGACTAGCAGTAGAAAGTCATAATATTGTTTTTTTTTATTAATTTACTTTTGTTACAGATGTTTCTCCTTTTTTTTCCTCATTGACACCCTCCTCCCCATCCCCCCGACCCCATCCCCAGCTTTGCTTTCCATGTCCATCAGTTATTCGTATATGCATATAAGTTTTGTGGTTTATCTCTTCCTCCCCTCCCTCCCCTTCTTCTGAGCATTGTCAGTCTGTACCCTACTTCCACATCTCTGGGTCTACCCTGTTCCTCAAACTGTTATGTTCATTATATTTCACAAATAAATGAGATCATGTGATATTTGTCTTTCTCTTCTTGGCTTGTTTCACTTAGGATAATTCTCTCCAGTTCCCTCCATGTCGTCTCAAAGGATAAGAGATCTTTCTTTCTTACAGCTGCATAGTACTCCATTGTGTATATGTACCACAGGTTTTTTATTCATTGGTCTACTGATGGACACATGGGCTGTTTCCAGATATTAGCGATTGTAAATAGTGCTGCTATGAACATGGGGGTACATATATTCTTTCTGATTGGTGTTTCAGGCTTCTTAGGGTATATTCCTAAACGTTGAATCATAATATTGAGACTTAGGCCCTGCTTGTCATACCTAATTCCCAGTGTTTTGTCAGTTATACCAGGAACTTATCACCTAGATTTTCTTATAAGTTACTTTTTTAGATGAGTGGTTCACTAAGGGTTCAGAATTAATTGATTAGAGCAGGAACAGTTGTGTACAACATAGGGAAGGGGCTTTTCATGTGGCCTTCCTTGCTCCCCATCTGTCCATCTAGCTGTGCTTTCAAAATTTGATGACTGTCTTTGTATAAAGTGATTGGGGAGTGTTAGAGAGAAGTCCAAAAACATTCTACTCCCTGTATCTAGAAAAATAAGAAAGAATAGACTTTGATAAGGCAGGGGGATAATTTCTTCAAGTCCAAGGAATTTTTATCAGCTGGGACCAGAGAACCTAAGAATGGGTTTCTGAACTAGGAGTATGTTGTTACCACTCCAGAAGAATTTTTAGAGAAAAATTGGCAATGATCCCACCTGAATGGTTTATGTTCCTTGTCCTATAAGTAGGACACTGGATCATACAAGCTCAAAAATATTTTGGACAAAATCTAAGATTCCATGAAGAGTCTACCTGGTATAGTTTCTTCTCTAGATGCCATATTACATTCCCATTTATATGCAAACCTAGAAGCTTTAATAGCTGCTGTCTTTATTCTTGTTGTTTTGTGTGGATGTTGTTATAGTAATTCAAGTTGATTTCATTTGTCCACATCTTCCTCCTCTTCACAGGATTTAATAAAGCAGGTTTATGCTCAACTTGAATATCTTATGAATATGTAGGGAAAAAGTAGTTAATTATGTTTGCATCAAAATACTTTCAATAATGTTGAGCAGGAACAGCAATAGAGGTTAAAAGTAACTCCAATTCATGAACTAGGAACAGGATGAGAAGGGAGATAATTTATAGCCAACTGGCAGCTGCAAGGGTAGTGAATTGATAAGGCCACATTCACAGACCTTTAATTGATGGCTCTACCATCTGTATAGAAACCATGTGTAAATAAGAACAAATAGTTTGGGCACAGAACTCAATGTGACTGTGATTGTGTCACAGAGAAAGAGATGGAAAAAATAAATTTAATCCTCATAGTTTATGCTGCTCAGTTTTCTACTAGTTGAGAATATTTTCTCTGCTATGGCTTAATGAATACTTTATTTTTATTATTCCAGAGGAGAAGTTTCTACAACAATGTGATAACAACAGCGTCACAAACCTTTTCTAACAATTATACTGTGCTGGCACGTTCCAGTCAAGTCTCAAGCAAGCAAAGAAATAACAACCATAAAAATGATCGGTATGCACTTATGTGGACTTGGTTTCTGCCATGTGTCCACATTTCGTTAGTTCAGGCTGTATTAGAGTACTGGTGCCAAAGGCCCTATTTTTTCAGGTGTCTCCCATGTGGCATGTCTTCAGTGATTTAGACTGAGAATTACGACCTACTTAATTTGTTTCCATTGGTAAGGTCATCATGTGAATATCTGGCAATTGGAGAGGATTGAGCATCTTCACAAACACCAGAAGGTGTGTGACACCTGCTAGTTTGAAGAAATGGAGAGGAGAAGGCATCAGGTTACCTTTCACAACCCATGCTACAAAGCAGGGTTATAATAGAAAATCCACCTTGATTCATCCACATGATGCTGAGCTCATAGATGAAGATACAGAAATGAAAACAAAGAAACTTACATTACTTTGAGGTCCTAGCAAAGTCTGCTCCTACGACCAGACTCTAGAGCAAATGAACGGTCTTTACTATTGTGTAAACTCATGTTTATCTGTGGGTCATGAATACGTCTCACAACTTTGTTTTTTCTTAACATTTCTATTTTTCTCTTTATAAAAGTAATTTATTGATTATAGCATAAAATAATATAATATACCAAAGTTATAAAGTAGAAAATAACAGTTCTCTATAGAACACCCCCTCAGAAATAACCAGCGTTAATATTTAGTGCATTTCACAATTTTTTTCCAGTGTTTGTATTTGTGTGTATTACAAAATTAAGGTGAAATGCATACAATATTTTATGTTGTCTTCATTCAATATTAAATTTTTACCCTCTCATTAAATTTTAATTTAAATGCATACTCCTCTATAGTCTAAAGGTGCTATATGAGTAAGTACTGTGCAGTCAGACAGATCCCAATTCTGGTCCTGATTCCTTCAGCTTCCAGTTGCATGAATGAGTAAATGACCTCAGTTTCACCATTTATAATATGGGGATACTATTAATTACTTCATATGATTTCTTTGAGGATTAAATAAGATAATATCTGCAAAGCCCTGGCATAATTTCTGTAGATACTAAATGTGAAATATATATTAGCTAGTGCTAAATCATTGCTCAGTTGTTTTTAATAGATTCTGACCCTAATATTTTTGCTCTGTATAATGTTTTCATATTACTCACACTCAAAATTATTTACTGAGGATAAATTCCTAGCAGTGGAATAAAGGACATAAACATTTTAAAGGCTTGCTTTAATGCTTTTCTAGACTGATTGTATCTATTTGTACCCACACTAATATTGCAGAATATTGGTCATCTGGCTCCATCCTTGAGGACATTATGCATTATCTTTTATAACTGGGCTAATGAAATAAGCAAATAATACTTTATTTAAATCTGAATTTTGTTGGTTACCTAGGGATATTGAATATTTATTTATATATTTGTTTTGTGAATTGTCTGCCCATCAGTCAACATATAATGTGCCACTTTTGGGGCCAACCACTGCTAGATATATCATGGTAACAAATTCGTGTCAAGATGGACATAATCCAAACTCTGATAACACACTATTTATTAAAAGTGCTCCTCATGTTCAGGCACCGGGATAAATGCTTAACTTGATTATAATGTAAAACCCTTTGGATTTCCTGGTTAAAAATTAGACTCCTCTGGCTAATCTGAAGTCTGTTTTGCAACTTCCTTATTTTGGCCACATTCTTCAGAGTTGAGGATGCTATGTTTACATATTCTAGAAAAGTAAACTGCTATGGTACCAATTTAAATTTCACATACATACATAAAACAGAGATAGGTGGATGAAATCACTGTGAAAGGTATAGAGAAGTGATGAATTAATAACATTTGGATGGCCAGAAAAAGGTGAAGAATATATAAACCACATAAACCAAACTAAACAATTTTAGCATGTGTAAAGCAGGTGCACTTGATCCAAATTAAGAGGGTGCTCTTTGTATCTTCATGTTGAAAAGCCTGTCCTAGATTTGACATCTTGAGTGGAAACATCTTGTGGTAGGTACCCACCCATCTGCACACCCATTGTTCAGTTATATTGTAGATTAAAAGATCAACTTCGGTTTGACAACTGCACAGTGGCATTATTCTTGCCTGTGTAGGTGAATTAAAGCAGTTCAATGGCAGGTAGAGGTGAACAAGTTTTTCCTTACTTCTAGTGGTAGCTATAGGAGTCCCTGAAATCTTACAATACTTTTAGGGAGTTGTCATTCTCAGAGGTGTTTATATCACCTTCTGGCATACTGGCACTTTCCAGTTTAGCAGAGTATTATTTATTGTTCTTTGCAAAGTATCACACAGGAAAGAGGAAAGGCTTGCCCGTGGTCATTCTGCCAACTCATATTTTCATTGCAATTCACAATATTCAAATTATTTTCACATGTATTATGACAATGATTCTGGGAGGTGGTGAAAGCTAGCTCCCCAAATATCACCAACACATGATAAGACAAAGCCGAACTTCTTGCTTTAGCATTGTCTCAAAGGAATGAATATAAGGGCAGAGTTTATTGATAATTGGAAGTCATCAATAAATGCATGGAGACTTGATTAGGATAAGGTATGAATCACCATATAATCAGGACTGACGAAAAGAGCAAGATGAGAATTTTGAGATGAAGGATCCAAAGAATGTTAGGGTGTGAATTGTCTATTGATGCTTTCCTTTGTTGGCAAAGTCCTATAATAAATAATCAAACCATTTGTTTGGACAAGAGAGTCCTGGAAAAGCCAAGTAATACTAATAAACACAGTGAAATAGCACTCATGTTAGTGTAGCCAGTAAGGTGTGGATTGGGTTCTCAGTGTACACGCTGAGTGTGAGGTAGATAGTTTTGGCTCTCAGAGGAAATGTGGTCATATATCCATTTTATAGATTAAGAAACTGAGGCTCAGGAAGATTAAATAGCTTTCCAATGACACACATCTAATTAGTTTTGGAGAGAGAACTAGCCCTGAGCTTTTTTTCCATCTTGTTCACTCAGCACTCGCTTCTTATGCTGTTCATCTTGCCCCTGTCTCAGGCCTTGCTGGACATTGATGAGTTGCTACAGCAAAAGAAAGTTTCAAATGGATTTTAAAGTTTAAGCCACATGGTCTTACTTGAACAAATGATAAAATGCTTGCTGAGAATAGGTTTGTGCAATGAGTCTAAATTCACTTCACTCTATGTTTCAAAGATAATTCATGGATGAAAAATAGGGAACTGAGTCCTTACTTGAAGTTTGATGTGACATATTAATCATTCATATGGCACTGCCTGCTATATCAATAGAATGCCGGGGACAGGAATTCTCTGCTGTTTTTGTTCTACATTTTTTATAGGGATGTCTTTAAATGGGAGCCATGAAGGAAGGGCAAGAAAGAGAAAAATTGAGAGTGGGTCTTATTGATTCTCTCTCTCTCTCTCTCATTTGTGCTATGTACATCTGGATTTTCTTTCGTTCATTTTCACCTTTCTGGCTCCTCTGTTCTAATTGCCACTCCACCTCACCCCCACCTCTTTTGTCATTCAGCTGCTTCTGTGGACATATCCCATGAAGGTAAAATGCCCCCAAAACAAAATCACTATAAAGAGAAATGTGGTGCTGAGGAGCTGTGAAAAAGTTTATTAGTGGGAATCCAAGTCTTCCTGGGGTAAATTGGATACAGATCATTTTTTATAAGCCTAGTAGAATGTAAGCTTCAGATGTTCAGAGGTATAACTGCTTCAATATTGAATCTCTAGTGCTAAAAACACACAATAAGCACTCAAAAACATTTGTTGAAAGAACAAATGAAGAAACAGTGGACAACAACTCCTATTTTGCTTTTGAACAAAATTCACCATGCAGTTCAGGGTGCCATTTTTGTTTTATTAACTTTGGTCCTAGAAATGCTGATCAGCACTTATTCTGATGTCAATGGTGTGTGAATCAGGTCACAAGTAGGCAAACTGTGATATAGTTTGGTGGTATCTTTGCTCTGCTGCAGCTGCTGAGAGTGCTAAGTTGTTATCTAGGTGTGGGTGGAGATGGGAAGAGGAAAACAGAGGCTTGGGAAAGAGGAATTGTGGATGAGCTCCAGAACAGATACTTTAGCAGAGATCGAAGGGACAAGCATAAAGAGATGGGGTGACACTGGGGAAGTAGATCTAGTTTGATTGTAAACTGATTGGATTTTTGACAGGTTAGCTGGTTCTAAGGTTTTCAGTAAATTATGCTCTCATGTTGTTCTTCATGAAATAATTTAGCTCAGGCACCAGGTCCTTCCAACAACTGATCAGATCTGGACAGGAGACTTTGACTTTGGAAGGAGTATGTTATTAACTATGGCAAAACATTTTGAATTATTTTCTGTCATTTTTACAACTCAGCCTGGGTGGCCTACATAAAATTTTTCAACTAGAGGAAAAATTCTAACTGTTAAAGTTCATAGGAAACCAGAGAACTCAGTGGTAAACACAGTGCAACCGAAGCTTCTTGTTTTAAAAACTCATCTAAAGATACTTGCAGAAATATTATTAATTTCATTATAAAAATTATTAACCCCTCAGGTGATCTAATAAATACTTAAAATTTTTACAGTAGGATGTTATATATTTTGATACATATATTTCAATATATTTACCTGTATGTATATGTTGTACTAAAAATGATAGCACTTAATGTCTGCTGCATGGAAAACAATTTTCCAGTTGTTTGTAAATTCTATTTATTTATCTGTTCAATAATTAGACCTCAGATCTAATTATTAATTTAAGAGCACATTACTCAGAGTGCTAGTAAGTAAAAGTATTTGTTGAGTATAGTTACTTTCAACAGTTATGGGACACCAAATTAAATGTAAAATGCAAATATACACAAAGTGCAAATACAGAAACAAACTGATAAAATTGCTAATTGCTCTGCCTTTCAAAAAAGCTTTTCTGTGGTAACTGTACATAAAAATATATTGCTACTGGTTATAAAATGTCTTTGTTCAAGGCTTGAATAGGGACATAATCTGTTCCATATACACATGAGAAGTTGAATTTTTAGAGACAGTG